TAAATAATAAAAAAACGCCATATTTAATTTTTTGACAGGAATGAAAATAAGGCTGCAGGGGATAGAAGTATAGAAGTACAGTGTGTGCTCAATGGGGGGGTTGTGTTAACAACTTTTAGTAGGCCAGGTAATAAAACAATTGTTAATTTTGTGACTTGTGAAAATTATGTGATCTAGGACCTTTATACAGTGTGTGCCATTGTAAAAACTGTACGTTTACCTCCCACAGCCTCATTTTCATCCACGTAAAATTTAAAATGGCATCTACATAGGCTAAAGTCTAAATAATAGAGCTGAATTTATTCATAAAACAGTACATGAAAAGTACTCAGAGGAACTACTATTCCCCAGTTGTAAGTCGCTTTGGATAAAAGCGTCTACAAAATGACTAAATGTAAATGTAAAGGTAAACTACTATGCCTCCAAGATTACAAAGTGGGAATCTGGTGGGCACTTTACTATCCCATGCAAAAAAATAAAATAACATTTTTTTAATAACAGTTTGAATTCTATGAGTCTTCACCACAACTACAATAATAACGATACAGAGGAGTGATGTTGTTAGAATGCCTTCAAAACAGTTTTTCCAGCTGATGAATGATAAAAACATTGACAGCCCATCAGAATCTCTCCAACTTTAAAGAGCTCAAGCAATTAAAGCGATAAACATGTGTAATAAACAGACAATAAACAGAACATTATTGTACAATGAAGTGGACGCTAATGTAGTTATCGTTACAGTTAGTTATCGTTCTTGGTGTGAATGGGCCTAAACAAGCCAAAAATAGGTCCACACTTAATGCCAGTTCACACTGAGGATGATAACTATAACGTTTTTACTATCGTTTGAATTTTACGAGAATAGTGAAGTCCACACCACAGCTGTAGCAATAATGATACAGACAAACAATATAATTGGAATCACTTTCAGAAGGATTTTTTCCCCCCAGCTGATAAACAATAAAAACATTGACAGCCATTCAGAATCCAGAAGAGTCTGAGCATTTAAAACAGCAGACGACCTGACAAAACCGCAATGTGCTTATAATAAACAGAACATTACTGTGCATGGGTGTGGGCACTATAGTAATGTCTAATAGATAATATAGTTATCACTACAGTTTTTGAACTGTTTTTTATTCATTAAACACGTGCCAACACCCATGTCAGTGGGTCTTGAGTCATTAACTCTAGTTCGTGGTCAACAGAAGACTGCAGGGACAAAACTACAAACCCTCCAGAACTGCAAAGACTTTGGCAAGCTGTTACCAAAGCGTGAATTTGCAGATCACAGCAAAGAAATACAACTTTGATGGGAGATGATTCCATGGCCTGACAACACAGAGACAGGATAAGGGGGTTGGGGAGACTGGAGGGCTTTGTGGTTGTTTGCAGGTTGTTGTGGTTCAGGAACTACCCAGCAACAAGTGATTGTCAGGATGTTCTAACCCCCGTCCCTCCCCCTGTCTCTTCTTTTTGGGGGTGAGGGGGGATGCATAGTTCTACTAAGAGCAAGGTGTCAAGCCCTCCTCCCATTGTTAGCCACACAGAGCAGAGCAGAATTGCCACCATAACCAGCACATCCCATCTCCTCTCTGCCCCGCTGCATGTAGAGACTGGAAGAGGCGCATTCCTTCCCTCCATGACAGAGCCGACCCCCCCCTTCCCCTGTCGTCCACTCAAACGTACCCCTTGGGGTGTTTATGGGTCAGCCAACAGGATGCTCGGCCCTTTGAGAGATCAAAGGATTCCCGGTTCAGATAAATGTGGTGTAACTGTGACCTCTTCAACTCTAATAGGGTTTAGCACGTCAGGACAGGAGGAGGGAATAAAAGGCCGAGACGTCAGAGAGAAACAGAGACTCGATTTGAGAAAGGAAAAGACATATACAACCTTCATTTAAGCATCTTGGAGTCAAATTGAAGGGAACAAAACAACGTAAGATCAATTATGACACAAATGTTTAGGTTTACTTTTTTAGGGGGGAAAAGTAACTATAATAATTAACTTTATTTAGCTCAATTTATCAGAAAACGGCTTCATATGTTCAATTTGCAACACAGGTAATTGTATCTTGATTTAAGAACATTTACATACTTGTATTAGAAAGCAAAACAAAAATACAGTTTTTTTTACAGTGCATGGAATATTTAATGCCATGATGCTATGAATTTAAGATCTTCTGCTCCAATTTAGGACCTATTTAGGCCTCAATTTGTGGAAGGGCAGATCAAGACTTTAAGACCTTTTTAAAACCCGCATATTTTAAAAATGGGCATATTTTAGAAATAGACATATTAAAAAAATAATGACTACAATCAAATCTATAACAGTATCTCAATTAAACTAAAATAACACTGATGAAAAGCCACAACTCAAGTCAATTTATACAGACTGATATATTTCATTTAAAGAAACCATATACATTTACACAATCACATCACTCACTCACTCAAACTGGCTGTGAAACATAAATGGTGCAGTATGCGTTCAACAGAGAATGGCTGTTTACATCTCTTTTGAAGCCATTATTTGTTCGAACAGACATGAAGCTTACCATAATTCATCCTATTCGACATCATATTTACTGCATAACAAGGATCGTGGCATGGTTTAGACGCAAGCATTTCATAAAAACAGGACCTAATCTCTTATGGCTTCAGTTTTCCAACAAAAATGAAACTTTATCATTAGGTCTTCAAGACTAAACTCAAACAAGAGGGTGTGTGCAAGGGTTTGTGCATGTGTAGCGGGTAAAAAATGAGTGATCGTGACACAGAGGACAATGTTATATTGAAGGAATAATTCACTGGAGAAAATAAAAACTCTGTCATCATTTACTCCCCCTCATGTCATTCCAAACCTGCATGACTTTTTATCCTTTATGGAACACAAAAAGAGGATTTAGAAGATTCATTCTGGTTGCTCTCATTCATGCAAATAAAACGAATGCTGACTAAAGCTTCAAAAGAACCAGATAAAAAATGATCCATACTGCTCTATATTTCACTTCTGAACTCATACGGTAGCTTTGACTGCGGAATTTTGAGTCATTAATCATGAACATGAGTTGGAACTTTGCAATGAATAATCTCATTCACAAAGCCTGAATGATTCGTTCATGAATCAAACTGGTCACAGAAGTTGACAGCTCACCTGAGGGGAAGAATTTGAGCAAATAACACCTTAAATATAAGTTTATTACTCACACGAATTACTTCAGAAAACTTGCGAGTTGTATGGACAACTTTTATGGTGCTTTTGTGTCCAAAAGTCTCAGTGTTCATTCACTGTAGTTCAGCAATCAGCACAATTACTTGTGTTCAACAGAAGAAAGAAAGTCATACGAGTTTAAAACAACACAAAGGTGAGTAAATACTGGGGAAAATATATATGATTTCCAGGTGAACTATTCGTTTAAACAGTGTATAACTGCTGGCTGTTGTGCTCGGTGCTTCCCTTTGTCTCTGCTGGCTTTGCTATCCAGCGCAGAGCAGCAGAATTAACGCAACCATCCCAGAGAAGCCAGCAAGATGTGTCCTCTACTCTCTCACCCCAATACCCATGTGTCGCACAGACACCACTCACACAGCACAACCTTCAAAGCATTCAGTGCGAGAGAGGAAAAAAACATCTAGACAAACAATTCCAATGGGAACATAGACAGAATTGTGGCCCCAGCCAACAAACACATTCACAGGACAATTAAGACTAGCTGGTTTATGGTTCACATATTACAAATAGTTCCATAATTACAGTGAAGAACAGTAGAGGCACTTTGCAGAGTTAAAAATGGATAAAACTCCTGTTAAGATTTAGATTTTCGGTAAATGAGTTTATAAGCATAGCACATTAAGCAGCATGTAAGGATGTGCTGAAACTATATCAATACTACATCAATACTATAACTATATCATGAAACTATTATATGAAAAGAAGCCAAAAGCACTTTTTATATCAAGTGCAATTTATGCCCATTTTAGAAGTGCTGCCCTACAGTGGAAGAACACACACGTAAATGCACTAATTGTCTTATTCACGTTTAAGAGTATTTTCGTAATGGCTGTGCAAATCCATGGCAGGAAAGGCACTTCCTTTTTATAACGATAAACAGGATTTGAAAGATTTACAGTGCCAGAAAGATAAAGGTGTGCCAATATTGAAAAAGCGGTTTTGATCAGCAGGGCCTAATTAAGTAAATAGATAGTTCACCCCCCCGAAATGAAGATTTTGTGATAATTTAATCGCCGTCATGTTGTTCTAAACCTTATTACAAAAGAAGATTTTTTTTTTTAAATCTCCGTTTCTCTAACCAAAAAATGCATTTTTGGACCCTATTGAATTAAAACAAAAACTATATATATATATATATATATATATATAATGTATTATGCATGTCATTTTTTCTTTTTTTTCAGGAAAAAGTCAGTCATACAGGTTTGGAACACCATGACAGTGAGTCAATGATGACAAAGTGATCATTTTCAGGTGAACTATCCCTTTAATATATTTCATGTAATAATCCATCATAATTATGGACATTTATATTGTTTACCTGTTTTAAGGCACCAGAGGTACTGAATAAAGTCTCAAGACTTAGTAGGGCTCAAAGCGCTTCACATCATTAAACAAGTATAAAAAACAATTGTGTTCTAATTTAGGCGTCACATTAATTATTGCGTTATACAAAGCGTCTGCAAGTAACCGTGCAAAACGATACAAACACCCACACCCACATACATACACACAGAGCTGAAATGTCTCTGTTGGTGCCTGTCCCATGGAAAAATCTGGCTTCATAGACGACATTGCTCAATATAAGAATATAAGAAGGTTTTCAAGTGTCAGATGGAGTACCAGTGTTGCTGTGCTGAGCACGATCAGCAGAACAAAAGCAAAAATCAGTATAGGAAGATCTACTAGTCTATAAAACGGCTCAGGTGATGACAGTTTGTCACTTAGTGACAGAGACTAAGTCCATCATGCGGAGCTTCAGTGCTTCGGGTTCAGTGCTCCAGCCAGTCTGTGATTCACAGGACAGAACATACTGCTTTTAAAAGGTTCAGTCTTAGCCGTCAACACTTAAAAAGTTTGCAGGCGACTGCCTGATTCGCCTGATCAAAAATCTTTGGAATGTTTGTTTGTTAAAAGCAGTATAAATCATTGCATTTTCGAGAAGAATGCTCGTTTTCCCTTTTCGTAAAAAAGTGCATGTTTGGATGTTCACCACTTGTGTTCCCTTTATGCTCTCTTGTTCCCAAGCTCTCTGTTTTAGAAGGGAAGGAAAGCGGCCGAGCGGTGCAGGAGAGCTGACGCTATCGTCTCTTGTGGATGCAAAGGTTTTGCCAAAGGCATGTGAGGCTCATTTAGCAGAAGGCTCGACGGGGTTGTATTCGGTCTCTCCTGAGGACACCTGGGAGATTCTGCGTGTGGAGCCCCACAGTCGGCGGGAAAACTGCCCAGACCGCACCTGAATTAAGACAGAGGTTTAAATATTGAATTTTTTAGGCCTTGAGAAAAGAATTTGTTGACTCAAGTGAAAATTTCAACACATAAGTTATACAAAATTAACATCTTCAACAAAGGGAAGGTCATTTTTATTTTTTTGTAACATGATACAGTACTTGACCCAATAGTTAACAACAGGCAATAACTTTTTAATCATTTTCAGCATTTATTAATCTTGGTTAATATTAATTGCTTCATGCACATTTTAAAAACATTTTAGCATGACATAAATTATGAACTAACATAATAGTATATTTTAGGAATAATAGTATATTTTGAATAATAATAATAATAGTATAATTTTATATATAAAATTATATAAAAAAATGAATTAAGTTTTTTTTTTTTTTTTTTAACAGTTTCTATAATATTTACTATGGAAGCTTGTTTCTGCCACTGAATAAAAAATAAAAAAAGTATTCTGACTATTTTTCTCAGTATTGTATGATACAAACTCGCAATTGTGTGTTACAAAGTCAGAATTGTGAGATATAAAATGGTAATTCTACCATTATAACATACAATTGCATATAAAACATTAGGATGAATTAATAACACTACAACCTCACAGAAGTGACCGTTCCATCGGTCATTCTTTTAAAAACATGATGTGACAGAAGTAGTGACAACGGTTTTCTTAAGTATTGTTATGTACATCCGAGTGTAACAAATTTTTGAAAAAGAACAAAAATTCCTTTTTGTATGGTTCCCTCAATATTTACTACTTATGCAATAGTTTTCTAATTGTGACACTTATAATGTAGCAGTAAATTGTTTTAAAAATGAATACTTTTTAGTGGTGTAAATTATGTAATATTATCAGCATTATAATGTACTAACAGTTCAGCAGCATGGATTTGATTGAAATCAGTAAAGACCTACTGGCAAACCCCTCAACCTCACCTCCTCCGGTTTTCCTGCTCCCACCACAATGAGTTTGCCATCCTCCAGGCCCACCAGAATATGACTGCTCTCTTTCGTGACAGACACACTGCGAACAGGGACCTTCAGGGCCAAGGGCGCCACAGCCAGACTCAAGCTACACACACGCGAAGACATAGAAAAAGAGACTTGGGAATGAAAAGCAAACATGCACCCAGCTGCTGAAGATTTACTGTGATGACACAGAGGATTGATTAAGAATGCATTTACTACAATGGAGAAAAAAATTAAATTAAATAAAATGAAAGAATATAATCAAACAGGTCATGCTAAACTGAGCAACTGTACGCCTACACTATTTTTTTTTTAAAGAAGTCTCTTATGCTCACCAAGGCTGCATCTGTCTGATCAAAAATGCAGTAAAAACAGTAATTTTTAAAAATATTATTGCAATGTTTTCTATTTTCTATTCAAATGTCATTTATTCCTGTGACGGCAAAGCTGAATTTTCAGCATCATTACTCCAGTCTTCAGTGTCACATGATCCTTCAGAAATCATTCTGATAGGCTGCTAAATAAACATTTTTTATTATCAATGTTGAAAACAGTTACTGCTTAATATCTTGTGGAAACGGTAATACATTTTTTCAGGATTTTTTTGATGAATATAACATTCAAATCAACAGCATTTATTTGTAAGTCTTTACTGTAATTTTGGTCAAATCAATGTGTCCATGCTAAATAAAAGTACTAATTTCTTTCCAAAAATACATAATGTAAAAAGTAGAAAATACTTGCCACGAACTTTTAATCAAGGTGTACAGTACATTTAAAACGACCATACCTGTACAACTCTCGAATGTGAAGGTTCCCCTGTTGTGTGCCCACGATGAGGTAGTCAGGCACCAGATGCAAAGCTGAAATCTTCTCGTCCAACGTCTCAGATGCTAAGAGAGTGCCATTCACAGAATACACATGCAGTGCGTACTTCTCCTACAGTCACAAAACCATGTGTTAATTTCCATTCTCACAATAACTCAAAAAGACTTGTTTCTTTTGACAAACATTGTCAATCAGCACCTTTCCAGCAGAGCGGCCCTCCATAACAGTCTGTGCCACTATGTGCCCTTCTATGCCGACCTCCAGCTGTGCCACAGGGGCAGGAAGGCAGCTCTCACACGGCGGTCTCAGGGTAAGCAGGTACTGTCCACGACGCACACTGTGCATGATCACTGTGCCATCCTGAGCAAAAGAAAAAGAGAGCATGTGAGAGAAAACTCATGAACCCTAACGGCAATGCAGTAACTTCTGAAGGGACTTTTAAGAAGTGGTCTCATCTAAACTGACCTTTGACCCTGAGATTGCCATGTCCAACTCAGTGCTGATGGCGACACACGTGACCTCTTGATCATGTCCACAGAGCACCTGCACAGGCCGTGGAGACAGACCGCTAGAGAAACCACCCTACAGGTAAAAAAAAAAAAAAAGACAATAAACTCTGCTTCAGTCACTAGTTATACTACATAACCATGCTGACTATTTTTTCTCTAATTCAGGTAAATAACGCTACAAGTTATTATTCAAGTAAATAAAAAACACAATTCACAAAACACTTAACACATAAAAGCACATAATTCAAGAAAACATCCTGATATTACACACTAAATATAAAATATATATTTGCCCACATTAAGGTCTAAAGCACAAATTTGATATTTTGACACATCAGATCTCTTTTCCTGGCTATTTACACTACCATTCAAAATGCTGGGGTCTGTGCAATATTTTTTTTTAATTATTTTTTTAAAAGTCTCTGATGCTCAACAAGGCTGTATGGATTTGATAAAAAATACAGTAAAAACAGCACTCTTGTGAAATATTACTACAATTTAAAATAACCTTTCTATTTCTGTTTTCTACAACTTTCTATGTTTTAAATATTTAAAAATGCCATTTATTCCTGTGATGGCAAAGCTGACTTTTCAACAGCCATTACTCCAGCCTTCAGTGTCACATGATCCTCCAGAAAGCATTCTAATATGCTGATTTGCTGCTTTACTGTCACTTTTGATCAATGTAATGTGTCGTTGCTTAATAAAAGTATTAACATCTTAAAAAAAATCTTACTGACCCCAAATTTTGAATGATAGTAGTGTACGTTCAGTTAAAATTAAATGACTGCTCATGGGCGCAGATGTACCCTTCACACCCTTTTATTTTTGTATTAACTTGGTATCTAATTATAAGTATTTTATGTGAGCAAACCTGCTGTAGGACCTGCCACACCATGCAGGTGGTGTCTCGTGAGCCAGAGATGAGGTAGATACCACAGAGATCCAGAGCCAGGCACGTGACCACATCTACATCCCACAAAAATGCATCATAACATTTATTCATAATCAAATGCATTATATAATCAGCAATGTGCACCATACCTTTTCTGAAAATCTGAAATCAATAGGGAGCTATTAATTGTTAACACTATAAAGCCTACTGTATCATATTTGATACACACATTTCTAAGGCCTTGACATTATCAACATGGACAAAGCTTTGCTAAAAACCTGGTGCACACAATCTACTACATGCCTTCTGCACTTTATACTTTTTAGCAAGTAAAAGGCCTTTTAGTATAATTAAAAAAATGTCCACCTTCAGGTCATGATTCACGTTTTCTTTTCTTCTTCCCCATAACTTTACATTGTTAGTAACTGGACTGATCAAACTTAGGTTTACTTGATTATCCATCCATCATTTTATTTTTTATTTTTTTTAGAAAATCATGTTAAAATGTGAATATCAAATATGATCCATCAGGATTTTGAGGAATGTTTATTTGTACATCTCTCAATCATCATGGTATTGTAATTGCTTTTTATCCCCCACAATAAAAACTACAGAGCTTTGATCATAAAACGAAGCATTTAAAGATCATCTTAAGACATATTATTGGGAGATATAGAGTGACAACTGATTTTAAATGCATTTATGTAAGTAGCCTGCTATACTATTTATAAAAACCTTATTGATTTATATTACAAGCTATCAGAATTTCATCTTATATTTTTGGCCATATAATTATCAGCAACTACACCCTATTGCATATTTTTGCTCAGTTTGGGACTCATATTATATGAGCCATAAATGCCTGATGTATCAAATATTACAATCATCAAAAACACAAGCAAACTGTTTTTTTGTGTGTACATTTTGTCCCATTTCAGGCTTTACAGGGCTAATGCTTCTGTTTCAGCAACAAATGATTCAACAAACATATCTGCCAAATCTGACAGCAGCTCATTTTATTTAGGATTCAGCTCAACAACTCCATCAAGCTCATTCCAACGCCTACTGCTTGGCTCTGTATTATTTCAGTACGTCTGCGTCGGGCAGACGGCTCTCACCTATGTGACGGCAGATCCTGCCCACCAGCTTGGCCTTGCCTAACATAGTGACCCGAATGCTGCAGTCCCAGTGCCCCCCGCTGAACAGCAGACGCCCGTCAGTGGACACCACCAGCACCTGGGACCCGATTTCCACCCCTGGGGAGAACGGCCCGCTGAGGAACCGCTGGGTCCTAAAAACAGATCAGACAAAAGGTTAGTACCAACAAATGGGACTAAACTTGTCAGTGGGAGAGCATTCGAAATAGATCAATGTTCTGTTTAAGCATCAGATTCAACACATGTTAGCAGACCACTCAAAAATAACAAGAAAGGCTTGGCAAAACAAATGAGCTTTTACAACAAAGGACTCAATTGGACTGAAGAACATTTATAGAGACCAAAGAAGCCAAACCACCAGAGCTTAATGTCAAAGAGCTGCTGTTTATAAGCTGCGTTTGATTATTTATCCAAAGACCAATGTTGTCACTATAAAAATAAGGCTTTCTGCCTAATCAAAACCTCTCGTCTTTAAAACTATATGACTTCACGAAGTCTCCGAACATGATTATATAATGTGTTTAGACATGTGTACATGTTCAAACTTACTTTGGGTTGCTCACAGAGGGGTCTCTGGTGAAGGTGAAATAATTAGCTATGTTCTTGTCGTAGGGCAGCCAGCTATGAGTGCCTATCATTCCATTAGCACTCACTGTCACCTGAAACAGGACAAATGCCATTCAAAACACATTCGGATGCAGCTATCTGTTCTGCAACAAATGTATTGATGTCAGGAAGTCTTAAATATGATCTGTGAAAGGCCCACTTCCTAAAATATATGCAGAGTGAAAACAATATTGAGTGAGAACAGACAAAATGTTGTTGCCAATTTTTTTTTATAATATTTAAATAAAACAATTTTAGAGTTCTTATATTGGCACTGTACTAAAGTCAAAGCAAATCATTATAATATTATCTGGATTTTTTTTTTGTGTTAAAGGGATAGTTCACTCAAAGATGAAAATATGACCCGTATGAATTTATTTCTTCTCCTGAAAACAAAAGATATTTTGAAGAATGTGAGTAACAAAACAGTTGATGGGCCCCGCTGATTTCCATAGTACTTTTTTTCCATACCATACAGATTTGGAACAACTTCGGAACAAGGGAGAGTAAAAGATGACAGGATTTTCATTTTTGGGTGAACTATCCCTATAAGTCAACTATTACAGTAATCTTTCATGTATAAACCTTGAGAGTAACATGTTTAATTCATATGCATTTGTACAATGCTTTCCCAATAAATATCATTCTAAAGCAATTTTACAGAGATTGTTCATCCGAAGTAAACCGCTAAAACATCTCCATAGAAACAACAAAAATACAGATTTTTCAAAATAAAAAAGATTTTTTTTAATTTCTTCTTTTAAAACAGTTTGTTATTGCAAAAAACTATCTTATTACTCCCGAAAGAAGAATGAAAAAAAAATGTATTGCATTATTTTAAAATAATAAAAAACAGCATATAAAATAATAGCCACAAAATCTTTTTTTTCCCCCCTCTCAAATTTTCCACAAACCCTCTAGCAAAGTGACTTCAACCTTTTTTTTTTTTTTAACTCCAAGGCCTCCCCACGGTCCACAACAAGCTTCAAAGGCCAGATTTACAGCATAAGGATGTTTCAAATATTTTTTACTCAACATTTCTACCCCATAAAATATTTGAGAGATTGACATAAAAAGAAAAATGCATATTCATTACAAAAATGCTTGTTTTGTCTTATTTTACATAATTTGAAGTCATCTTAGAGCTCTCTTGCAAGTTTGCTGAGGCCCCCTAGTGGCCCCTGGCCCCATGGTTGAGAACCACTGCACTAACACCCTCTTCCACAGACCCTCTTGATCCTCAAACTCCTGCTCTATGTGATTGGTTCTGATCCTATTCAAAAATTAGTACAAAACAAGTGAACATAACCACAAAATAATCTTACCAGTATGTCAGAACCAGGGATGATGAAGGAGCGGGTTTGATTTCTGGGCACCACGGCTTGCACTAACGGCAGACCATCGCTCACCACCTACATGAACCAACATCAAAAATAATCACAACACAAATCACAGTTTCACACAGCAACTCTATAAACCAAATCATTAGCACACAGTGCTCAAAAAGTTGTATTTCGGCATATTATTCAGCTCAAATAATATACTGATAAATTCAGGCTCACCTCCTTAAAAGATCGGAGTTTACTGAGCTGATCAAAAAGGTTGGGGGGCAGAATGTCCAGACGGGCATTCCGCCTGAATGCATTCTCTGCTGACATACGGGGAGGATGGGGCTCCTGAATTACACACAGAGGTTTCACTTGTGCCATATTACACATATTACACAAATGCCTTCAGACCCAGGGTTTTTATCATTAACTAAAACTATAAATATGAAAAACATTTCTGCTTTTTGAAATAAAATAAACATTAGATGAAAAACTTGCAACTGATGGCAAATAAATGAAGTAAGTTCAAGCACTAGTATTAAAAAAAAAAAAAAAAGAAAACCTGGAAGCTCATATAAAATGAAGCTTATGCTGACTAGAGATGGAAACATCTGTCTGATGTCCCACCTTGAGAAGCTGACAGGGCGTCTGGCCAAAGTTGCTGATGATGCCTTCCAGGGCCTTGCGCTCGGTCTCATTAGCTATGGCGTCCAGATCCACTGCACCTGACAGCCAAAACACACAGCGATAAGTCATATTTTCCATGCAGGAACATGTTTAAACCAATACGAACTCATAAGAGGTCTCTTACCCTCATAAGTGCAGTAGTAGAAGACATTGAGAGCCTCCACCGCTTCAGGTCCTC